CTCTTATTTTACCATTAACAAGTCTATCGGTGATAAGTCTGATCTTAAACTAAAATCAAATACATAAATGTCTCTGAAAATCTGCTGTCAGTCTTGATGGAAAAATAAACAAATGGTATAGATACCTATATATTTTTATAGATGCATCTAATGAAAGAAGACATGAAAGGTCTTCAAGAGAAGCTCCTTAAGGAAATGGTAAATGAAGCTATTTTGTACCGATTGCTAATTATTTACTCTTTGCATTTTACTAAAGGAACTTAACTGTTTGCACATTGACTTCTTAAGTTGAAGCTGCAATTTTTAATATGCTGTTATTGTGTTTGAAATACAATGAAAATAATTACAAATATTATTAAAATATCTGAAACCATATGCTTTTATTAATTTTTACTTAGAATTCATTAAATGATGTAAATAAATGTATTCCTGTAGTTCTCTGCTTATGTAGAATTTTATTATGGCTCGTATTAGAACAAATAGGAAAAGCAATGCATACATGTTGCGAGATTTGGATCTGGATACTGTGATACTTTCTTTAAAGTTTTCTTTAAAGTATTGATAAATATAATATAATATGTTTCTACCACAGCAAGAAGAGGAGCTATTTAATGTTCGCAGAGGATTGCAGACCCTGTTTTTGTCAGAAGGAAGAAAATTCTAATGTCAAATTTAAATACTTTAAAAATATGTTGTTATATTCAGATTAGTTCTCAGTAATGTGAAGTTTGACAATCATATTCAGTGAAAGCAAACCACTGATATAAAATCTCTTTTTTTCTTTAAAGATTGTAATTTTATGTAGATAAACTCTATTCTGTTACAAGCATTTGAGGTTTCTTTTGATTACCATAGTAAGATGTAATATATAAATTTTGGATTTTTAAAGAAGTGCTATTTTTAAAGGATCTCCACATAAGATGCAAAGGATGTTTAATAATAAAGGATCATTTTAAAAAGATGTATTTATTCACGGATGTAGAAAAGTGGTCATTCCCAATTGAAATGAAAAGGTCATGTTTATGTCATGACTCCTAGTCAGGTGCAGAATATGACTGCAAATTATTTTAGCACATTAAAAGGAGATCAGAAAGGCATTTCTGGAAGCCACATCCTATTAGCTTTCAGTAGAAGTTTGTTGTAAACTAAAATAATTTGTAAAATGTACGTGTTTTTACCTTATTTTGCAAATATGTATTAAACTTTCCATGACACACACTTTTGGGTCTTTTCTTTCATCTTGACAAAACAGGCATTAACAAAAGGTGTGTACATCTTGGTACAAGTTTAAGACTATTTTTTACTTAATAACACAAAATCTGTAGGCGTGCTGACATTTCCTGTATGTGTAGATGCATAGCTTTCCTTTGCATTTCAGTTACATTGTATTGCCATATGTTCTATAAACCTTAGGGGAAAAGTCTTTATAGACGCTTCTCAATGGATTATGGATTTACTCAGTAACAAGGATGTTCTCTTCTTCTGAAACAAAACCCAGGTAAACTGTACATTGTGGCTGTAGTACTGTCAGTAGCTTTTTAGGGAAATGAAGTTAAACATTTTCTAGATTGCCAAAAAAATTATTAATATAGGGAATAATTCATAAAATAACCCTGCCTTAGAGGTCCTTACTTCCTTCTGAAGAATTTTGTCAATAAATATCCAACTCTGAGCTAACTCTTAGTTTTTCTGTAGCTCTTTTTTGCAGTCTGTTTTCCTTCAGCTTTATCTCAGATCTCGTACTTTGATCACTTTGCCTTCACGATGACACACTTCCTCTTTGTCATTATCTCATCATCCTCCAACTTTTTTGCCCTTCCTACTTTCCCTTTTCATTCCTAACATTGCTGCTCCTTTCTGACATGTAGCTTTTACTTTAAGCGGGTACCCTCTGTTCTTATCTCTGCTGCTTCTACTACTCTACAGCTTTTTAACCCCAAGCATTTGTTCTGTCTTTTTCACTACCATATTCCTAGACCCCCGCTATTGTGTTATGCTATTACTGTATTGTCAGTCTAAACACCGTCTTCCCTTTATTTATTTATGTTTTTTAAGTTAGACATGATTCACTTTGATTAAATTTGTATTCCTTCCAACCCAGAAAGCTCTTCTGTCAAGGATGGTGTTGCTTTTTCAAAAACTATTTTTGTCATTTTCCAGTTGAAATTCAAATTCTGACTCTGTCTTCCTTCTCATTTATCATATTCCACTTCCTTAGTGTCATAATCATAGTCCACGGTACAGCCTACTCCTAAATCTCTGATTTGTCCATTGTCACTCCTCACAGTAACCATGGAACCTCACAATGCAAGCTTCTTTCCAGTGCAGAACTGACTTTAAGGTAAGATTTATAGTACACCTTTTTGAAGCACAGGGATGCTAATACACAAGGCACGGAGGCTGGCTGGAGCACGCTCCAGCAGACTTGATTAATAGAGTCTGTTCTGACACACTGTAATTACACTGTATCAGAACAGCATCCTGGCACATGTGCAAGCACCCACTGAGATTATACTATTTGGTTAATTACTTTATAATGACCTTTCCTCTGATCTACCTATGTATTATTGGGTCACTGTGTTTGCTGAACCTTCACTGGATTTATTATTACAGGATTGTGTGTTTTAGCTTATGGTCCTTGCTTTGTACTAAGTGGGAAGTTCTAAAATTGGTATTGATTTTTAATTGTTTTTTATTTAATTTGCCCAGTTTCAATTAATTTTGCATTGGTGAGCATATCAAGAAACATCAGCGTAATTAAAGTGCTTCTCTTCTCATAACTGCTACTGAACTGTATTTATTGACTTGCTCTTGCTAAGTTTTCTTCTTTCTTTTGAGTAAAAATACAAATTAGCTAACTATGGGTCTGGTCCTGTAAAGATATTAACTACTTTTGTCTTCCACAAGTAGTACAAGTTGAGGGGGCTTAGCACCCTAGAGTATAGGACTGCATTTGTAATACTGAGCCTCTGATATCTGAATATTCTTGTTAATGTTCCTGTTAACGACAACTAAAAATGAATACGACTGGTGTGTTCTTTTCTTAGCAGTGGTTTGACTGGAGACGTTCTTTCCGCAGAATCCAAACACTGAGGTTATTGTGTTTAATGTAAAGTGTGTATAATTAGATATTTTATAAATCATTTGCACATTGTGAGTGAAAATAAGAGTTCACCCTAGAACTGGTTTTTCCCCTAGATTAAATGTAGTAGTGTGCAATGGATTCATCAAGTGCTTTAATTTAAAAAAATGTGTTATATAAAAAATTGTGCACAGATTAAAATTGTTGCAACTAATATTTGTCTGTTCTGTAGGTTGGGCTAAGGTCTGTATTGTTTACGCAGCCATCTCACTCACTGACCTCCACAAGGAGTGGAGTACATAGGCAGTAAAGGATTTGGCCCATAAATTTTAACTTTTTCAGTAAGGTCTTCTTCAGACAAGTTAATTGTGCCCATAATTTTGATATCCAGTGTCTCTTTCAAAAATGTTAAATCGCGATAATTGTCACGCTAATCTCTCTTAAATGGCATCTCTTTTTTTATTGTATTTAAAGTGTGGTTTGGCATGCCAGTTAGTCATCACTAGGGGTATCTACTCAACTGTGAGGCTTATAATGCAGAACACAGGAGTAATATATATTTCCCCACACTCCTTTGCGCTCTGGCTCACCCTGCTTCCCATCCCCAGCGAACAACTACTTCTCTGCCCCTGACCTGGAGCAGCCATCTAAACAAGTTAAAAGGCAGTTTGGTTCTCGTGCCTGTTCAGTTCTGTGCTGTTCTGCTGAGGCTGTTAAAAAAAAAGCCAGATTATGGTAGAGATGAAGGGGATTTTTTCTCCATAAGGAAACTGGGCTAAAGCCACCATGGACTAAATCCACAAAGGGCCTTTGGCAGGTAAATCCAATATTTAGGTGCCACTGAGATACGCCATGGTCCTCCTGCCTACCCTTCATGATCATCAGAACCTAAGGACATTGGGACAAGTTCCCAATGCACCTACATTTCTATGGCTGGCATGTCCAATACCACCCAAGTCCTCACCCACCAAGCTGCGTCACCAATTAGAAAAAGGAAAACTGTTTGGAGGTCATTCAGTTAATTCTGAAACGTAGGTTGTGGCTGTCAAGGTAGCCTAAAGAGTTTTGGTTAACTCTTAGTTAGAGAAGTTCTGAGGAAGGGATAAGTCCACTCCTGGGTTCTCTTTGAAATAATATGTGCTTGCTTGTCATCTCCACTAGATGGACCTTGTGGAATGGTACATGCCAAAATGTTTACCACAACTCGAAATCTGTGTATAACACACAAAGCTTCTGTGGCATCCCATAAAGTTCATTAATTTTTTGCTCTCAAATTAGACAACAAGTGTTTCTTTGACTGCTGTTTTTACTTCCTTACCCATGAATCCTCAATCACTATATTCTTTGTCAAAAATCGGACTATTAAATTGTTCGTTAATACTTACAAAAATATGTTGAAAGACAGTGATGGTATCGACCTCCATAAGGAGGTCAACACATTCTAAAATTGCGTATTTAGATGTGCAGATCTTTGGATCAAGCCGTTGTGGTGGTGCAAGGACTCAGACTTACATATATGTAACCAGAACATAAAGATTCTGCAAAATTAAATCTAGGTGGGTATTAAGCTGAACTCTTTAGCAGGTACTTAGCTATGCTGTGGATCCCATTTCTGCAAAGGTCCAGATGCTGATGGCATCCATTATAGCCAGCAATGGTTTCTATTGTATATCCTCTCAATATATGGCATGCATTCATAATTCCCATTCCTGTGAATGAGAATTCATTGTGTACAGTTACCACAGTACAATGAATAACCTGCTCTGGACTTCTGTGGTGAAGGAGCACCTGTCAGCTGTGGTGGTGAAGGAGCACCACACCAGCTGTGTGGTGTCAGGAGCACCAGAGCTCAGTCCACCTCTGTTAGGAGCCCACCCTGAAAAAAGAACTTTAAAAGGACCGTGCTCATTTCCTGCAATAAGTAGTCATTTAATTAAAGAACAAAATTAACAAGAATCAAAAATGCTGCAGCTGTGTTTTTTGTTAGACATTATATAAAAAAGAAAGAAATTATAATACATTAAATCATTTTGTATAACATGAACTTAAGGGTTTTACAAACGAATTTTGAGAAGTTCCAAATGTCTTGTCAACATAATACTGAATGACAGCGTGTCATGTCCATTATGTCAGCGGCCTTGGAATGGGAAAGCCTGTACATGCACAACGTCTCCTTTTCCAAGATATGCTGCAAAACAGTTTAAAACAAGTGTTTCAAGGAGAGCAGTAGGTTCCTTCAAGTAGTTTTACTTCAATCTTTTAGCTGATCCTCCCACCCCACAGGCCGTCACTTTTTAGGCATCAAAGAGTGAAGTACGTCCTCTGGTATCTCCTCTTGTATGTAAGTGCTGCAGAGTCTTCACCTGCAGAGTCCTTCTTTCCCATAAACATCAGGTTGTCGTGAACTGAACTTCAGGGAAAGACCTTTTTACATTCCCTTGTGTGTGTTCAGCGGCGGTATCAAAAAGTAAAGACATTCTTCTCAGAAGAAAATCTCTATGGTCTGTGAAATCTAGAGTAAAAAAAAAGCAAAACATCTTTGTAGCATTATTGTTTTACATTAAATACTTTGTTGTAGCAGAAAATAGTGAAAAATTGTTTTAATGTGCTCGTTCCGTTCAGGGGCTTGTCCACACTGCAGTCACTGACAGTCATACTTAGTGTTTTACACAACTTTGAACCTGACTGGGGGAGGGCACCCGCAGAAGCCGCTGACCCTGTCGAGGGGGACACCAGCCCTACCAACAGCATCAGTATTGGCCATCGGGGAAGGGGGGGGTGGGGGGACCCTGGCCCTGTCAGGGGGCGCACATGCACCCCCTACCAGACGCCTATGCTTTGAACTACTGGTGGCTAGCCTGTTGATGTCTGTGTGTCCTCTGATCCTGTCAGCTATGCCAAGCTGGTACTTGGAGCATCTTGAGGTAGAAGAGCGAGCTGACTGGGAAGGGGGCACTCAGACCTCTGAGTCTGTGTTGGCCCCCCACCTTGGGCATTTCTTTTCCTGGCTGAGATGTAAATCCCTAACCGTTTGTTGTACAGTGCCATTAATCGTAAGCAGGAGGAATACTTAACCCTGGGATTCTGGCCAGATTCCAAAATGTGTCATTTTAATCTGCCTAATTAAAGTTCCCAGTTTGTTTCAATTAGATAAAATATCTATCACTTCCAGACCTGATTTGTCACCTCTCAATTTTCTGCATATCATTTTATCAGAAGCCTTGTAGCATAAATTCTAGTTTTGGAATATCCCAAGAACCTTAACAAATATCCAGCCTGGTGCCTGGGATTGAAGAATGGGATTTATAAAAGTTTGGGAATATGTTTGTGCACCCAAAGAGAAACCAACTAGCAATGAAAAGATTTCCTTATTTTTGCTCAACACTGGGTGCGTCTACACATGCGTCTAAGCAGATGTAGCCTAAAATCACCATTTTTAAGGCGTATTAAAGGCACGTGTCTACACGTGCGTGCCCTTAGTGTGCCTTAATAATGGCAATTTAAGGCTATGTGACCCTAAATTTAACACTTGCAAAAAGCAGGTATCAAATTTATGCATGAATAGCTAAGCTGCACTAGCGCATGTGTAGACATGCTAAATGTTCATTAACGCAGCATGCATCAATGGATAGACACTGCATTAATGCACATTAGTGTGTCTGCACATGCACTAACATGACAGCTATTCGCACCTAAATTTAATGCGCGTTAGCACATCCACATGTAGAGGCACACCTAAATCATGTTAATGTGCCTTAAGCAAAGGCATATTAAGTTTAGGCGCACGTAAGTACAGGTGTAGACATGCCCACTGTTTCCAGTGCAAACTAGAGCCTCACAGTTTAAGTAGAACCATTCATCTGCCTTAACCCATGTGCTGTTTTCTCACCCCAGAACCTCTTGTGTGTAATCTCTAGCCATGGCCTCTTAAGTCACAGGTGCAAGTAATTCATTTTGAGCAGGGTTTGGGGGAAATTTGGGGGTCTCCTCAACAGGCACTAATCTACCATTAAAAACAGTATTCAAGCTGAAGAAGAAGTGCTTTGTGTTCCATGGTAAAGCTTTCTCAGCATTATTAGACCCACATGGGAGCAAAGTATTCTGTCGATTCAGAGCTCAAAAGGACTATTCCCGTAGGTAACGGAAAATAAATAACTGGGAAACTGACCTTGTCAAATGCTTGCTTGATGCATGTACTTCCATTTCATTACTTTTGTATTCATTTAGCTCTTTACGAATTGCTGCCTAGGAATTTAAAATTGAACACGATTAGCAAATAATTTTATTTATAGGCCTCAACAGGACACACAAAATGAGCAGAACAGCAATTCCTTGCAAAGTTTATAACGGACCATATGCAGCGGAGCCAGCAAGACCCAATATTTGAGTTATGTGATTTCCCTCCATGCTGACTGGTCACTGTCGTCAGAGACAAAGACACGCTGCCACCAAGGGCATCACTGTTAGGCTGCCGTTGTAACCCCTTTATAGAAGCAGTCATGGTGGAACCTGAAAGCATAATGCTCGTTTCCCAACACTTAGTGAGGCTCTGGTTTATTTAGGGAGCAGGCACAGACATTACCCAGCCAGCAAGTGGCCTGTTGAAATTTAGAGAATTTCTATAAGTAAAAGTCAGACGGCAGCTGGGTTGTCACAACATGCAAATGTTGGGCCTGATTCTGCTGCCCTTTCAGCATGGGAGGCCACAGCGTCGTAAGCAAGGGCAAAAGTTTCCTTTTTGGTACATAACCCCATACAATCAGCACTGGGAAATGGAGTCAGTCCACTTCTCCAGATGACGACTGTTGATGGTCTTGGAATGTATTAAGTTGGTCTCATAAATTCTTATATGTTGAATTTTCTAATTCAGTTACCTGAGCTCATGAGGATTTAATATACAAGCATGTGTCAGATCAGAGGTTTGGTTTATTGGAAGAAATAAATTTTCAAGGAGAAAGTAATGAAACATTTTCCTCGGCCCCTGAGCTGTGAATGCATGTTTATCAAGTAAACAAGGAAGCAGGGATAAAGGTTTAGCTGTACATTTACTTGAACCATAAGAGATGATCAGGCAGGACAAAGGATTGCTTGAACTGTGGCACCAGGATAAAATCCCAGCATCACATTTCTTTTTATGGATTGACAGTGATTCAGAATTTAACAACCTGAACTACGACCTGGTGTGAGTTACTGATGTCTACAGAGATACAACTGCTCACACCACGTTTAAGTTCGGCACAAAGTCCGCTGAGGGGTGCTTCAGGCTGCATGAACAAATGGAAGGGCAGAATTTGACTTAAATTCTCATTTAGTTCCCAACTGCGCTCCGTCCTTTGCAGAATCACGTGGGAGCAGGGAGGTACCTATTATGCAAGAGTTCTGTTATAAAGCAAGTATGTGGTGTGTTTTTAATGAGTTTCTCCAGAAAAGTAAGTGCAGCAAATCTCAACAACCTTCAGGCATGTTTCCCATTTTGCAAACACTACTGTACATGGCCAAGGGCACTTCAACTAAGGGGAAACAGCAAATAAAAACACTTTTGTCTTCCTATCAGAATCCTCTAAAGTCACTTACGCTTTTCCTATATATTTTCTTTCCTTATTGGGAAACGCTCCAGCGTGTGTGGGAGTGAAGAAAACACATCTGATTTCCAGGATAAAGCACTGAGTAATCCAGTCCTACATTTGCCACTCTATCCAGTAATTATCTCAACAAGTCCAATTGTTTTCCCTGCCTATGACAATCTCGAGCCAAAACTTTAAAGCCTCCTTATTGAGCAACGAGTCTAGCCTGATGCAAACCAAGCCCTTTCTTCACCCCTTTTCTTGCTTAAGCATGAAACCCAAGGTTATTTAATATTGTAAATCAGATATAAAGAATGGGATGTGGCAGGCATATGATGGGGCAAACAGGAGTACTCTAGTTAGAATAGCTCTTTTCAAGGCTAATGTAATTGTGGATCAAGCTTTTCTTGGGAATTTATAGGTAACAAAGTAACTTGGGGTGAATGTAATCACTGTTTTGTCCTGAGTAACTTTGTGAGTAAGAGATAGTAAAGTCCTGGGGGACACAAGCAAGCCCAGGAGAGATTATGCAAAATTCTGCATACCAGGCTTTTTTCGAGACATTGAGGGTTTTAAAAGCATTTACGATATGAAAAAGGCATTTTTGCAGCCCGTAGTCAAGGTAGTCACTGCATGCTACATATACTGGGGTGCTCAGTTAAATCTATCCCACCGATCCCTGCCTTAAGAATCTCATGTGTTTCTGTGTTTAACTCCTAATGACAATTTTGAGAGAGAGGAAACAAATTCCTTTGTATTGTATGCAGCCCTGTTACCTTCAGAAGCAAGAATGTGGTTTAGGAAGGGCACTGAGCACTCGGTTTCACTTGAAGGGAACACACTTGCTCCAGCGAGTATTAACCAGCGTATCGAGACCCACTAATTACAGTGTTGCTTACACGACCTGGTGCACCACCGATGCAACGTGAACAAAAGGATCGCAGTTGGCTTCATTATATGTATACCTTATCTGCTGCTGACAGTCTTGTCCAAGGTTTATCTGCTCGTCTGTCATAGTCCTGTGCTTTTGCCACTTCCACATAATCGCTGAATCGAATTAAGATTTTTCTGTCTCTTAGTTCATCGACTGTCGGTCTCTGATTGAGCTGTAGTAACAGGCAGAGTAAAGAACATGTCAATACAAATCAAAGTAGGACGGAGACAAGTATGCAATCATTTTGTTTCTTAATTTGGGTGGTGCATTTGTTGCATACGAGACAACTATTAACCCCAGCTTCTGAAAAGATTTCTTTTTAATCCACGCATATGTAATGCCCAGGAAAAATGGGATGTGCTGCAGAATCTGCTCTCATTTACATGGATGGGCATTCAGAGTAAGCTTGACTTTCCTTGTGCTGTCACCACAGGGATTTACTTGTACCCTTCACAGTATTAGTGTTATGACAGTAAAGATGGGTCAAAGCGGTTGAGGGGTACTGTTCAATGGCTTTACAACAGATTTGGCAGGAACATGCTGGAACACTGAACTTCATAAAGCTGCTCTTAGAGTGCGATTAAAGTTGTCACAATGAATTACAACATAGGGATTCTTCTACCAAAGTTACTGGCAGAGCTCCGGTCCCCAGACCCATTACCAAATTTTGTCTTTGTGCGTATGTACACATGCACTGACCCCAGCAGAGATGCCTGCAAATTAAACAGGGGCAAGATCAGACCTAGAACCTGCCAATGCCTTCAGATGAAAAGGTCTACAAAGAGAGCCTGCGGGCAGGAACACACCTGCTGCTCAGCAGGGAGTCGGCTCACTCCCGCATTCGCATTGCTACCGAGCAGGCAGGAACTGCTTGCCTGGCAATATAGTTGCAAAATATGCAGTATGTGGGCAAATGATCACAGACTAGCTGATTTTTGGTTTTTATATACATTTTCCATTAGGCTGTCGCATACTGTCGTCATCACTTAAAGACACAGCATTTGTCCACAATGACCTGATCTATTGCGGTTATTTTCCATTTCGGGCACCAGATACCATGGTGGACAAATACGAGCTTTTCCACAGTGATCACCCCACAGCTGGCTGGCGTAACATTCAGAAATTGTATTCCCCCTCCAGACTCCTAGCTTTGCATTAATGTTCAAAGAAGTGAATAAAAACAGTTGTAAGACTTTACCTTTCTTGTCAATCTCTGCTTGATTTCCCTTCTTTCTTCCTGTTCTGTTTGATCGTTTCTTTCTGCAGAAAATATAAAAAAAGAAACAACTTTCCTCATGTAGGAAGACCAGCGACATGTAAAATATCCAAGCCGTAAAAATGACAATACAGAAAAATGTGCTGCTATTCCTTAGAGCCTCTGCATTCCTAGGGCTGTCCTTGGTGTACCTGCCTGGTGTCTGGGCAGAGTGCGGCACTACTCCGCAGCAAGGGTGAACGTGCGTTTGTGCCCGTGTCAGCTTTTCCACTGACCTAACCTCCAATTCCAATGAGCTTTTAATATACGTAAAGCAGCCAATCCGATTCTTTGGTTTTAGCAGGAAAGTGAGGGCATTTTAAAATGATTAATGACAAAGCGTAACGCCGTCCGGTCATGTAGCTCTTATAAAATGGTGAAATGTTGAACTGAACATGCTCAGGGAAAGCACGTTCTGTGTGAGCCAATTCTCAGGCTACGTATTTTGCGGGTTCCCTTGCTACAACCGTCACCTTTAGCTTGAACCCATTCTTTTTTTCCTCTGCCACATTCAATACAGTCTCTTTATACTCCAGGGTTTTCTTTTGTAATGTTCGATTCCAACCGAAGCCAGCCTGCTTTTGTGTGTTGTGACTATTAACATTCAAGCCGTGATAACTCCTACACACTGGATCTAAAAATAGACTGGAGTTGCTGTAACACTGTGTGAAATATATCCCTTGCCTTGGGATACAAGTTAATGGATTTTCTATTTCTAGTCCTATCTGTTACTAAATTAAGACTCAAAGCCCGTAACCTGAACAAAGCTGGGGACCCAGAGAAAAGCTATTTAACCATTCAGTGATTCCCTCGATTCCCTGTAATTCGGTGTAATTATATCTTGTCGCTTAAGCAGAAGCACATTCTGTTGGACGTTTTTAGTGTTAAATCGCAAGGATGATTTCATGCGACTGCAAGAATAGACCAGCACTGTAGACAAGTTCCTAAAAAGGCAATCTTGAGAAATGAACTTTTTTCCCCCTATTTTTATATTCTTTAGATGACACTGAAATTGAACCATGGGGATCTTTTTAAAGCCAATTAACAGTGGCATCTCTGCAGAGGCATGTGCGTAACTATTTCCTCTGAAAAAACAAGCTTTATGTCAATTAATGTCCCATCAGAATACAGTCACCATGGGTTTTACATGGGGACGGCTTGGTCTTCTAAGAGGAAACGCACATACGCAGAGGTGGTGGGATGATGTGTTTCTCGTAGTTTTGAAATGCTCAGCATGCATCCTTGCCTCTTCCTGCCCTGACACATTCGGAGAAACTCAGCCCAGACTTTGTGCTGAAAGACAGCGCTGTAGCAATTGTGGAAATAGGAAACACAACTTGTCAGGCAAGCAGAGCTGAATTCCTGGTCCACTGTCCCCACGTGCAGGCAGAAAATGGTAGCAGAGATATCACCAAATGGAAATGGTCCAGATGAAAATTTAGGGAGGTTTTCACAACATCATCACACCGACTGTGCTTAAGTCTATTCATTGGTAAACGGTTGGCTTTAACACCATCGCTCTCAATGCAGCGAGGCCCCCGATTACAGTGTGCCGTGCAGAAGTGTCGTTCGCATCCCTCCACATGAGTTACTTAGGGGGCTCTAAGCTATGCGTGACACTGAAACAATCAGCTGTGTCAGGTCATGCAGCGGAGATGCTTCGGTCTGATACCACAGGAGCTGCCTGTTTGACTCTGAATGTCAACATCCTGCTCGCACGTCTCTGTGACCTTCTGGGATTTCCCTTCAGTTTGAGCACCCAGTAGCTGGCTGTCATGCTCTGAGCTGTACTAGCACTCTTACTATATTTAAAGCTGCAGGAATTAAAAGATCAATGAGATTATAAGAAAGTGTTCTTTTTTTTTTTAAGTACTTCTTTTATCCCAGAGTCATGTCCATGAGGGAGATAAGAGCCATAACTCTCCTAATCCCATGAACTCCCTTTTAAAATAGCATAATAGCAGCTGTTCAGCAATTACATGGTGCTTTGCATCTTGAAAGGCTTGTACAAACATGAACTAATTAATCCTTAGAACATCCTTTGGGGTAGCATTACTGCCATCAACAGTATTATGCATAGCTACGACCCATTACTGCCTTCAGACTCAGACCTGCAAACTCTTCCAGCTCACGATTTCAATTGGGGTATTTCCTTTGCTAAGATTTTGCAAGATCAAGTCCAACCAATGGGAAGTCAGTGTTGGCACCCCCACGATCAAGGAGAAAGTTCACCGATTCTCAAACTGACTCCATGCAAACTGTTAACTTTCCCTGGCATGCACCCTCAAGCCTGTGGTGACGTTAGTTCTGTGCCAAGCAGCTACGCTTTATCAAAGGGAAAGGGAAATAAAATAGAAGAGGACAGCCTCTGATGTCAGATGAACCAGTGTCGATCTGGAGTAACTGCCCTGAAGACAATGGATTTAGTTCACCTGTGTAGCCACTCAAATAAGACCTAGGTTTAGCCTACCTAGCATTTAGGACCTATCTTTAACTCTCTTTACCTTCCTTTTTGCTTCATCTCCACCTCTGTGCTCATTAATGAATGCAACACTTTTTTTTAGTCAGCTTAACCTACAGTAAGGCTACATCCAACATACAGCAACAAGGAAACATAACTGATAAGGACCAGATTTTCACAAGACCTTATCTCTGATTCAGGAAACCCAACCGAAGGGAGCAGCTTTTCAGTGGGAGAAGCTGAATGCTTGGCTCTTTGGAAAATCCGACCCCTTATGTCTTAGAAACCTTAGTTTCATTCTTTCTCTTCAGAGGGCGGGGGGTTGAGATGAGATGGCTTGCTCTGTTTATATGTCACAAGTATATGTGTTGGTTGTGATTTGAAAATATATAAATGCTTGTGTGGGCGTGCTCTCAGTATGGCTAATTTGAAACAACTCGGCCTGTCACAGGTATGTTCATAAAATATTCTTGAGCTGACCATGGACCCACTCTTCTGTTCACACTGAAACAACAACTCCATCGACTTCAATAGGAGTAGCAGCAGATAAACTTGGCAGGATAAAAGTGACAAGGAAGAGAAAGCACCCAGCAATTCAAGTCTTCCCAAACTCTGCTTATGCTTTTGTAATCTGTGTATTCTGTAATCGCTGTCATCTCTGGTTATGCTGCTATTTCCCAGCATATGGTGAATGTCCCAGGAGAATATGTAACATAAATAATTCAACTTTATAAAGATGCTTCCTAAATGCAAAGCATTCAGAAAAATTAATTTCTCCCCAGGAAGGATTTTCCTGTGTGTAAATTGAGCAAGACGCAGCTTAGTGCTGAATGGCTTGTGTCAGACACCTGCAGAACTCATCAGGTTGGAGCAGTGGTTTTCAAACTGTTCGGTGGACCCCAGGGGCTCTGCGATATGTCATCGGGTGGTCCACAAAGAAATTGGGGGCAATGACAAAGCAGGCCAGGTCACCTGGCCCTGTGTCAGGTCACGTGGCCGGTGGACGCAGGGGTAGAGGCTCCACAGCACGAGAAGTGATAGGAAAGGGGTCTGTGACTTTTTAGGAAGTTTGAAAACCGCTGGATTGAAGCATCAGGCCCAGCTCTGTGACATGAAATTATGATGGAAATAGGCGAATTATTAAGATAATGTTTCCTAGAAAATTGTCTGAGCTAAAAGCCAAGCAAAGCCCTGCTTTAGGAAAAGAGAAACGTGGCCTGTTCGGTTTTCAACCAGAAGCAGATGCCTGTTCCTCACATACTACTGCTGTGTTACATTTCCGCTGCTCAAATGCACCAGGATCACAACAGAAGTTGTGATCTTTTCCCTTAAAATAGAGGCCTTCTCACCTCTCCAAATCTGCTGCTACTTGTTACACAAACAGTGTTCGGGGCATTCCCTCTTCCCGTCAGCAAGGGCATCCCTCACTAAATGCTCATGCCTGATCCCGCCTCCCCATTGAGCACCCTCCTCTTACAGGAAAGGCTTAGTTACTAGGGCTGTGTGAATCTTCGGTCCCTGATTCGATTCAACAGAGATTCAGCCCAATGTGGTGGCCGAATCTCCGAATCCGAATCGAATCAGAGGACCCTTTAATCTCTCCAAATCGAATTGGAACCCTCCAAATCAATTCAGGGAGATTCGGACAGATTTGGAAATTCAGACGCAAATATAACTTTAAATGTTTTTTCTGCATACCTCTAGGTAGCAGGGGCTCATGAGTACTGCGATGCTGGAGTGCATGGAGCATCCCACAGGAGTGCAGGGGGGTCCCCAGCGTGCTCAGCAGCAGACCCAGAAGTGGACCAGAAGCCCCCCTGGGTCAGTGACTGGTACCTTCTGGGTCTGGGGGGGCACCCGGGGTCCCCCTGTGCCTGATAGCTGAGCCAGGGAGGCGCAGGGGGGGGACCCCAGTGCACTCCCTGGTGGACCCGGAGGTGGACCAGAAGTACTTCCAGTCCACTTCTGGATTCACCGCCAAGCACATGGAGGGCCCCCCCACACTCCTGTGGGACACTCCATGCACCCCAGCATTGCAGCGATCACGAGCCGTGCCTGCTACCTGGAGCTACGTAGAAAAAACATTTAAAGCTGTGTCTATGTCCGAATCACTGATTCTCCAAATCAGCAGAATCTTCAGGTTCGGATTTGGCCGAATCGAATCGGAGAAAGTGATCCGAATCAACAAATCAAATCACTGTCCCCGATTCGGGCCAAATCCAATTCGCACACCCCTATTAGTTACAAATGTTTGCTTTGCTTTGCAAGATGTTCAGCCAAGGACCCTAGCAGCAGAGGCAACTAGATATAGAGTTTGATGCCCCTGTTTTATCTCCCGGTGGCTCTTCCTGGCTTACATTCAGATTCTATTATCATTAGAAAGGATCTGGCCTGATGTGGCCATCTGACTTGCTAGGAAAATCACTGTTCTGCCAGGATACTTGTGCATTTCATGCTGGGACAGATAGAGTTTAATTGCACCATGTTCTGTGATAGTCTGTAACATGCTAATGTGAGCACTTGTTGAACTGAGCTAAACTTCCTTCCTTGTACCTCCATAGCAGAGTGATCACAACCACAGGTCTTTGAAAACAGTGATGTGAATCAGTCCTTTTTTCTGCACTAAGTTGCCTTCAGCCAAGTGTAAATTATGACTCCTGCACCAGACCAGAAACGCAGAGCCCATACAAAATTAAAACTTTAGTTGTGACATTTATTACCAAGCAGGAAGTATGAATTTGTCTACAGAAAAGGAATGCTCCATAGAAATGTACTCAGTGGTTTCTACAAAACCATATAAAATACTATAAGGAAAATGAAACAATAGAAAATACTCACGTTTAAGTATATTTCTTCTTTCTAGCTCCTCCACGGCAGGTCTTTGGCTCAGTCGCCTGCGGAAAAACACTAAAATCACGTTTTGTACCATGCCTGTTCTTGCAAAAGTCTGCACTGCTCTGAGTTTGTGCTGGTGGTTTTCTCAGACAATCCTCTCCCGGCAGGGAAGAAGGGGAATCCTGAAAACTGGATTTTTTTGTTGTTGCTATTTTATTTGTCTCAAATGCCAGCAATGCAGATGAAGTTCTCGTCTATTTTGTTCTGCTCACAATACAATCCTTCCCAGGAACACACGTTCTTTTCATCCTGCCAGCTCAAGTCTGCCAAATGCCCTAGTAGTTAAATACACTCTTGAGGAGGTATTTAAGATAATGATCAAATGGGTTTCTCAGAAGTCTTCTGCAGCAATTGCTGTCCCCACTTTCAAATCATGGGAGCTTTTCTTAGTCTCACAAATATTATATCTTGACAAAACTCAGCCTTCCTAGAAATAAAGCCTCACAATGCAGGCGGTTTCCTGATTACAGAGATACGGCAAATCAATCCACTACTGCCTGCCGTTCATGTGCTGCTCTCAGCCTCATGCCGTCTGAAGCTGTCTTATGCAGTTTCACCTCCCCTTTCACTAGTGCTGCCTCAGGATTGAATCTTGAGATCATATGATTGGTGCCATAGTGATTTTATCCTGCATAATAAATGAGACTTCCCCGAGAGCGCCCGCTAATATCTGCAGAGAATCTCAGGTAATTGAACACCCACACACAGCGTTTACGGCTCCTGTGTTTGCTAGCTTTCAAATAAGAAACCGGCTGAGCGATAGGAAAGGGTTGGTGCTGATTTCTGGCCTGTATTCTGGCAATATGAGGGAGTTTCATTGTCTCCGCTGCAACGGATGCTTCAGTGTGGGATTCCCGAGACAAAGGACCGGCAGAAAAGGGGCAGGTCTGACGACCTGTGACGAGGGGGGAATTCTAAAACCGTTTCAGACAATTGTGCTTTATCAAATGCAAGCCAGGATCCCCGCTACCGGACACCAAAATGACGGGTTCATGTTTCTTGTGTTAGGTCCCTTGCAAGGGTTTGTCATCCCTCCTACAGAAATCACTCGCTTGTCACCGTAAGGGCTTGGGTGCACAATATACCCCAGCCACCTTCGTGGGTACTGCTTCTTTCTTTTTATCTTTTTTTTTTTTTTAATTAATTTTCCTAAAATTGATGACAGCATTAAACCGCGTTCTCAGGACCAGTGCCATGAATGTGAGGCGATTCCAATGACTTTGAGTTAGCTGCCCCTGATTTATATAAATGACAGCAACACTGGGACCCTCCGAACACCAATACTTGAGGACCGACCCCTGGCCCTGGCTTGAGTCATTTTTCCTGCCAACCACTCAGTGGCTCTCTGATTTCAGGGAGTCTCGGGATTTCCCTTTACGCTCTGAGGGGCACATCCTTACCTGGTGCACTTTGGTATAATGCTGATATATGCTAGCACAGGATTTGGCCGTGTGTTTTTAATTCATGTAACCCCACTCCTCTACCCCCACTCCCATGTGTCTCAGAAACGATACAATTCCCCAGGTGTGTTTTGTTTCAAAGAGATGAATGTGCTTTTGTACAGGTCAAGGAAGACGGATTATTCTGGGGCTTATCTCCCCATCAAAGGTCCACCAGACCTGCTATTGAGACGCTTCCCCCCCACCCCCGCCACTTGAAATTACAACTTGTCCAAATGAGATTTATACTATCTCACAGAAACTGTATGTTAACCTGGAGAATTAAAAGCCTAAGATTGACTGAAGCAGAGCTATGAGCACTTATGAATATTAATGTTTGGTGCATTGACGTATATGTTGGAGTAAAACCCCTTATTTTAAAACAAAAATCCTGCAGGCAAGAAATGGCAGGTAAATCCTCCGCTGTTAGGCTGGCATCCCCTCAGATACACGCGCTGTGACCTCTTCTCCCCAGATGTCAAGTGCAGGAAAAGAGGGACAGAGGGAAGGCTTCTTTATGCATCAGCAACTGCAACCAGTTTGTTTTCAAACGTGGCACCTGAATTCCCAGGCACCTGCCAGGCCCAGCGTTTCAGGCTGGTCTGCACACACTCCCAGCTGGCACAGGTCATTACAGCAATTGCAGAGGGGAAATGTTCATGCCAAGGGTCAGGCAAGCATCTAACTGAGCACCGTTGTCAGATAACCCTTCCACAAATCCTCATGACCCTGAGAGCTGGACCTGTAAGGGGGCTAGCTTCCCAGACATGGGGGGATGTGTACACCACTTACTTCTGTGGGGCTGAGGATGCCTGACCCACCCACTTCCCTCCCTGCCATCCAAGTCGAGCCCTGAAATGAGGCAGAGAAGGCAGCCTACGATGCCAGCCCCACTGCCATACTGAACCACACCAGAGACAGAGGTCTCAAGAGCAGCAGCGATGGTGTCCTCGTGGCAACTCTTTTCACGTTGAGCACATGCAGGGGGGAGAGAGCTGGCACACTTCTCCGCTGCATCCTCCACAGCACTGCTTACACGGGCCTGGGAAGGGCAGTGCCAGATGACACGCTCAGCTCAGCAGAGCTAGCAGGAGCTACGTGACCACCACAGCCAGGCAGCAAACCCCCAACAATAATGATTGAAAGGGCACCGGGGGCTATTTGCCTTGCTTTGGAGACTTTAAAAGGTCCTTGGGATCCATTTTCAAGTTTTTCTCTGTAACTGTGAGGGCTGGAAATGGACTTTACCCCACACAGCTAAGAATCCCACATAATACCATGACTCCAGCAGCTGGGGCATTAAGAAGAATGCCCTCTGTCACTGGCAGCACTGTTGATTTGGTGGTTACCCTGACACAAGGACATTTTCCTTGCATTTGTTGTCCCTTGTCTTGCTCGGCTGGCACGTAGGTCCAGGGGTCTATCTGCCTATCTACCCTGGCTCTGCATTGGCACAGTGGTACCGCAGCCCTTCTATAATGGGATGGAAAGGCCTCATCTGTGATCACTGCATGCACCTGGGGATCACAGCCAGCCAGCAAAGATGAAAGGTGCCAGCTGCTTCCCTACCTCAGCTCTGATTGGGAAAAAGGCAGGCAGCTGTGTGGCCCAGACAGGAGAAGAGGGAGTTCCTGGTTCTCTAACATCTTCAGAGAAGCCAGAGGACTAGAAGGACAGAATGGCTTCCTTGTGCTCTGGAGCAGCCTGGGTCTGTGAGTACTGGGGCCTGGGCCCTTTTCTCTGTATTGCAGAGTGGCTAAGTAAGCCTCCATAGGAGGAGTTTTACATGACACTGGGTTGGAGCAGGCTCTTCCCAGCTCAGAGAGGGCAGCTCCCAGTTTCTCCCTGAGTCACTCCCATTGATCCAGCACAGGCTGCCTTCAGCTGGGGGCAACCAGGGACCTCCCAAAGAAGGATGCTGCATCGTACCATGGCTGAACTGGCCTGGCCCCCAGTCCCTACCAGCTAGTCAACACCACTTGATTTTTTTTTTTCCAAGGAAGGGGTGCAGCCATCTTCCATTGTGGTAGCCTCCCCCATCCCCCCAAGGACTTCACCACCCCAGCTGGCCTAAAACCTCTACCCTGATTTACAACAGTTCAAGCAGAAATAAGCAAGGGATGAACATGGCTCTGAGACCTGGGCTCGGGTGAAATACCCTGGCCATGAGAGGGTATATTCTGTTCAGTGGTGCAGTTTAGGTGTATGCGCTTGAAACCATTTGTGTTTCTGCCCCGGGGGTTTCCACCTGGGGCACAGGAAGCTGACGGCCGCATCCCTACTTAGTATGCTGAGCTGAGCCACCTTGCACTGCACTCTGGTTGTCTCCCTCTTCCCCCAACACCCCGCTTGTTCTGGAGAAAACAACAGCAGGGGAAGGAAATACTGCTAATTTCCATGGGCAAAATGAGCTTCCTGAGACAGAGGCTGGCACGGTCCCCAGCAACACTGCCTTGGAAACTCCCTTTTGTGCAAAGACCACGAGCGTCACTTGGCCGTGGGAGGTGACTTCTCGGCCACGTTCCTCTTGGGAAGAGCAGGTTGCAAAGATTTGGCTCTTCGCAGGGAATGTTAAACACCTCCATAGGTTTATAAACATCAAGCAGTTTAAAGATTAAAAACAGGCTTTGAGTCGCAGTGGGGGAGCTCGTGCTAAGTAATTTTGGAGGACGGGGTGGACACTCACCAAGGGAAATCCTTTAAAAAGGTCAAAATTGACTGGTGGTGGACACGCTGTCACCACAAGCCACTGCGTAAAGAGCCAAAAGCTGTTTGTCTAAAAGCTCTGTTGAACATTAAGGGCTGGAAGAGTGTTAGAGATTTTCTTTTTTTTTTTTTTTTGAATGGATGTCCTGATGTGGTGGTCAGGTGGGGAGTTAATTAGTGCAGTGACTCAATCGGCCTCACCCTGCTCCATCTGCACCAGGGGTCCGCTCTGCAGTGAGGGACTTGGCCAGTGGCCAGTTGGAAAAGTGCAGGCTGGCAGTACCCATATCATGCCAGGTGCTTGGATGAGGCTAGGAGCTAACTGCTGATTGCAGCTGGCCTGCCAGATAACTTCAGGTAATTTGCTGCTAACAGCCTATTAGTGAGTGTAAAGGCTGAAAGCTGAGCCCAGCAAGGCCAACAGTCTCTCTGCTTTGGGTTTTTCCTGGACTCTGCTGCCCCAGAGGAGGCTAGACTCTCACAGTGACTTTGGCCAGAGTGGGAGGTCACAGCCATAAGTGAAATGGTCTGAGGCGTATGTTGGAGGCGGCACAGCACCTCTGCCACATCTGGCTTGTACTGTTCTGGCATAAATTATACCTGGACACCTGCCTGTTTTGGGTCTCCACAGTGAGCACCCGTAGAGCCCATTATGTGCCACAAAGGAACTAAACTCTGGATGTCAGTATTGTGAATCCCTCCTCAAGCAGAATGAGCCACTTCCAACTTGAAGCTTTTTTATTCCCCCACCATTCATTCTTCCCTGACAACTATCATTAAACTTGCAGGAACACTGAATATATTCAGCTCTTTCCAGCTGAGGATTTGGCTGGTATAGTCCCACTAATATGGCT